AATTGGAAAAAAAAGAAAGAAAAAAAAATAAAAGCAAGAAATAATTAAAATCAATATTAAATAAAAATAGTTCCTGGCAATTGCGTCAAAAATTTGTTGTCGATTTTTATATCTCGCAAGTTTAATGATAATAACCAGTAATAAAATGGACCAATAAATCTGAATATCGTGTTTCTCCCCCAAATTGTGTGAAGCCCTATCAAAAGTATCAAAAACTTGTATTTATATTTCTTCCTACGTTTGTGTCGAATGTAGTGTATTTATGGGTTTCAAAATGGGTAAAAAATGAGCCCTAGATACATCCATAGGAGTGGCGCCGCGACTCTCAATTGTGGAATTTGGTGACCCTGGGGCACAACCTTTTTGGTTAAAATCTACATTGCACTTCTTTTAGTATTTTAGCATAACTTTCTCTCACAATATCCGATTAAGGCGATTAAATTGGGTTGTAAAGATAACTCAAAGGACTATAACTTTGCTTAAATAGCTTTTCCAAATTAGAAAGTTTACTAGGTCAAAAATGGATTTCAATCTTGAACTAAAAATCTAGAACATACCTGTGCGGTTGAAAATTGATTTGTATCCATATTTTGGTCATACTTCACTCTTTTTTTTAAACTTCTAATTGTATCTAATTGACCCCTAGTATTCTCGAATCTTCATCGTGAGGTTTGACATAACTTTTGAGTATTTACACTTTAGTCTCTAAACTTTGAATCTTACCCCTTTTCCCCAATATTATCTTCTTTCCTTCAATTCAACGTCATTTCATCGAGTGTCACCTAATAAACGAAATATATAATAAATTAAGCTACAGTTGTTTAAAAAAACTATTAAATGCCTATATTTTTAGATCCAAATAAATGTATAAAATACACTTATCACCTACCTCATGGTAAAAGCATTAGAGAAAAGTTAAGAATGATAAAAGTTGAAGGAAGTCACTAAAAAGGAAAAAATCTACTAACACACTACAGATAAATAATGCAATTTTTTATGAACATGAAATAGAAAATCATATTTGAAGAAAGAGTAATGCTAATCTACTATCATTAGTGTTGATCATCATCAATTTAGGTGACGATGAATTTATTGTTGTTGAACGTGGAATATATGAATTTGTCATTATTATTGTTGGTGATTTAAATATTATTGAAACTCTTGAACAGCTTCCAAATACAATAGATTACATTTAAACGAATCCAAGATTAAAGATTTAGGAAAAATAAAATTTATTCCCGACGAACGGATTAAATTTTTAATAATAAATTTTTCCTTGACCAAAGTTTATCCCAGTTGATTTTTTATGGCAAAATTTTTAATAA